CCCGGCGGTCGGAGGACGGGCGGGGTGGGGGCGCCATGTGGTTCATGTACGTGCTGAGCTGGCTGTCGCTCTTCATCCAAGTGGCCTTCATCACGCTGGCCGTCGGTGAGAGTTCGCGACCCCGGCCCTCGCGGGCTCCCGCTTCGGCCTCGCAGGGGGCCTCCGGAGCCACTCGGGGAACCCCTGCCCGGCGCTCCCGGCCTTCGCCGCTCTTCTCCCGTCCCGCCTGCTCCTGCCCCTGCTGCTCAGCCCAGCAGCCCGGCCTGACTGCGGGTCCTTCCAGGTGTCACACAGTCTGCCCCAGCAGTGTCCGGGAAAGGCTGACTCAAGTGCACCTGCCCGCCCCTGTGAACCGCCAGCTGCTGCCGCTCCCACCCCACCGGGCCCAGGGCGCCGAACTTTTCCCCGACGCTTACCGCCGCCCTTTTGCCTTTGGCCCTTCGTACTTGCTGCTCTCTCCACCTTTGACATTTTCCCCCTTCTGACTAGTTCCTACTCGATCTCAGTTGAGATCTCACCTCCTCCGGGAAGCCCTCCTCAGGAGTTGGATGGTCCAGCAGCGCCCTGTACTTTCCCTAAAGTAGCACGTCTCCCCTCCTTACTGGTTCCCCGTCCAAGCTATGTCACAGAAGGGATCTTGTCTGTGTTGTTCTGCTGTATTCTCAGCACTCGGCCCAGCACTTAGCCCATACTAAGTTCCCCGCGGGTATTTATTGAATTAGTGAAAGAAATTCCGCTTTCTGGGCCAAAGGTTACCATTGTGCGGAGGAGTCAAATTCAGGCTTCCATTCACTTTTATGAATCTCTCCTTAGTCGCCCAGACAAAGTTTTACTTCTCCAGAGTTGCAAGGGCAACACATGGGTTGTTCGGTTTGTTCCTGACCTGAAGTCCATGAAGGGTTGAGGGGACCCAGCTACAGAGAGAGGGATGACTAGGGTGGTGGGAGTGACCCTGACTGATATTCTCCATTTGCCCCTCTCCACATTCCCCCAGCGGCTGGACTCTATTACCTGGCAGAATTGATAGAAGAATACACAGTGGCCACCAGCAGGATCATAAAATACATGATCTGGGTAAGTGGCAGCTTTCCCTGGGATTCCCTCTCTTTTTTCCTGCCTTAAAAGCAGGAAGTGGGGAAAGTTTGGCATGCATGATGAGACCTCTGTCTTTTCTGTTTCCTGAGAGTACCACTCCTACCTCCCTGACCTGTACTCTGTCTTTTGGGTCTGAACACCCGGGCCCAAATCTTCCTTGATCTCTTTCCCCAGTGGCATTGCTTCATTGCAGACCTTGTTCTCATTTCTTTAAGGTGATAGCGAGTGCACATTCTGTGTTGACAGGACCATGCTTTGCCTTTGCTTAGCTGTCTTCCACTGTCTCTAGCTCCTTGCTCTGCTCAAAACATTTAGAACTTAAAGGAACCTTAGGATAGTTTTGAGTACCTGTGCATTATCCTCTTTCTAATTGATTCAAATGATATGTCCTAAGAGGGGAGCACCTTCCTTGGCCCTGACCCTGACCTCCCCTGATCTCATGGGAGTCTTCTCTTCCTGAGGACACAGTCCCTGTCATTGATATCAAAGCCACAGGAGTGACTGCTGGTGGACAGATTTCCACCAGCAGCAAGAAAGGCTGGGGATGGGGATGCAATTGGACAGGAAGAGTGCACTGCTCCTCAAGTCACCTGATTGATTTCAGCGGCCACATCAACTCTGGGCATGGCCTGGGGTTGGGAGTTAGTGGTGGAGACAAGATTGCAGCCCTTAGCTCTCAGTTCAGAGGCCCAGCTTGTGGGCGTTGGTGCAGGAATTAGACCTTCATTCATCCATCTGTCTTTTGTTGCACTGACAACTATAAGTCTTTCAGAACAGTGTTTTTCAAGCTGCAGGCATGATTTATTATTGGGTTATGTAATCTATTCAGTAGGTCATGATCAGCACTTTTTAGCAAATGGAATAGAAAAGACTAAATTGAAATTTGAGCTCTAATCATATATATGTATGTGGGTGTTGGGATCATGGTGTAAAATGCTTTTCTAATTGTGGGTTACTGTCAGAAAACTTTGAGAAAGGGCATTGAAAGATGCTGCCCTTTGGGAGCTGAGGGTCTAGTTGGGGAGACCAGACCTGTGACTGACTGTGAAAGGAGGAGATTGAAGCATGAACCTAGTGCTGCCCCGAGTGGGCTGGGGGTTAGTGAGTGCAGGCAGGTTGTTGGAAGAGGCTCCCTGCACTGTGTGCCTCTGGTTGTTTCAGTTCTCCACAGCTGTGCTGATTGGCCTCTACGTCTTTGAGCGCTTCCCCACCAGCATGATTGGCGTGGGCCTCTTCACCAACCTCGTCTACTTTGGCCTCCTCCAGACCTTCCCCTTCATCATGCTGACCTCGCCTAACTTCATCCTGTCATGCGGTGAGAGGGGACAGAGTTGGGGAAGCAGCTGATGTGATTGGATGTGCCCAGCTCAGTCCTGGGCACTGAAAAGAGAAAGGAGGGAAGCCACTGAGGTCCTCCAGGAGGCCAGGCTGATGGGGAAGGCAGCTTCTTACTCTGGAGGACCCTAGAGCCCACAGTGGCTCTAGTGGCTAGGATTTGGGGGGCTGGAAGACTTGCGAACTCAGACAGGGAGGACTTTTCCAGAGAGGTAAGTTTGGAGAAGGGTTTGGGAAGGGAGAAGAGGTGTGGGTTGGTGGAAGCAGGGCCCCCAGCTGAGTAGTTTCAGCCTCAAAGAAACTACTTGGCCAGATAAAGCCTGAAGCCCTTCTTTGGCAGGCAGGCAGGCAGGCAGGCAGGCAGGCAGCTCGCTCCCCATCCAGTCCTCTGGCCTGAAGTCATGGTTAACACTGGAGCCTCGTGGGCTGTGATCCTCCTGCAGACACTGGCCTGGTGTGAATGCCTCATGGAGGCTGCCTTGTCTAGTCTCGATCTCACTGGTTGCAGCTGCCTCAGGTTTGAGGAATGTGTTTGGAGGACCTCAGCCTTCTTGCCTTTGCCCAGCCACTGATTTCTGACCCTGGGAAAGATTTTTCCCCTGTGGGCCTTAGCTTCTCCATCTGTTCAGAGATGATGTTTCTGGCAGAACTCAGTTGACACATAGTAGGTGCTTATAGATATTTAGATAATTGTGGAAAAGATTATGGAAAGTACTTTGTTACCAGGATTGCCATCTCTCCTGGTAATCTTTATTGGTTAGTCATCCTGGCATTTGGTTGGTATATTGCATGGAGTTGGGGTTTTTTTAGAGTTCCTTTTCTATTTCTGAGTGGGAAAACATGGAAAGAGGATATTATCCACAAGGAGAGCACAGTGTTAGAGCTAGGACTGGCCTCTTTCCTGAGTGTCTTGGTGTGATTTCACCAAAGAATTTCCTCAGCAAGGGTGAGTTTGGGGAGCCCTTCCCTGGAGACCAGGTCTCCTCTGCATCTTCCTAGGGAGGAGATCCCGCCAACCCCCACAGCAGCAGGCTCCCCTAGCCTCCCTTTGTCACTCCCCTGACCTGTGCTTCAGATGCCCAAGAGAGTTTTTCCAAAGGATCTTGAGGGTGCCAGGCACCATCCTATCCTCAAGTGTCCCTTAGCCCTAGAGTGTGGCTGGGCATAGCAGAACTGTGGTCTTTGCCCTTGAGGGGGTGAGGTAAGAGAGCAGAAAAGAGACATGGCAGTTACCATGAGGTGCGTGTGAGGGTTGTTCCATTTCAGGGGACACGTTCTTTCTTGTGCCTGCCCTTCACCTCCCTAGGGGAACAGGCAGGGGTGCCTGTCTCTGAGCATCCTGTCCCCAGGATCTGCTCTCTCTTTCATAAACTTGGCTGCACACTAAGAAGATGTGTGTGGGTCCAGAACATGTTAGTTCAGATCAGTGTGCCTTACCCTGGGGCAGGATGGATAAGGGTCCCCTTCCCCAGAATTCTGAGGAACCCTAAGACTGCACCTCAAAGTGTCTAGCAAATGGTGCTCTTTTTTCCCTAGGAATGAGAGCCTCTTTATTTGAGAAGGTCTTCTCCCTTCTGCCCAGTTTGGAGTGTATTCTCTTAGGGGAATCTGATCTGTACACCAAGATTTTCTCTCCACCTACTTCCCATGGGATGACTTTCTTTAGGACTCACATCCACTAACAACCAGGTTCATTGTCACAGTGCTTTGGATTGTGTAACACGGAAGTCTCATTTTGTAACATGCGAAGAGCTTTCTTACCTACCTTCTAATTTTACTCATAATGCCCTCTGCAATGGGGAGGTTGGGACTAACCCTCCCATTTTACCAGATGGGAAACTGAATTCAAGACAGTGGTGTACTAGAAGTCTCATTTTGTAACATGCGAAGAGCTTTCTTACCTACCTTCTAATTTTACTCATAATGCCCTCTGCAATGGGCAGGTTGGGACTAACCCTCCCATTTTACCAGATGGGAAACTGAATTCAAGACAGTGGTGTACTTAGTCCAAAGTCATACTCTGAGTTGGGTATAAAGTCGGGACTAAGACTCAGGGATCCCAACTCTCAGTGGCCTTTTGAAGGTTAAAAGATTAAAAGTCCAGTTTTGTTATTTCCCCCAAGCTGACTGACTCTTCATTTCCTCAACAGGTCTAGTGGTGGTGAATCATTACCTAGCATTTCAGTTTTTTGCAGAAGAATATTATCCTTTCTCAGAGGTAAGAAGTGTCCAGTACATTCAGCTATTAACAAGGACAGGGGAGCAAAGGGGACTTCCATGATTTGCTTTGTGAACTTAGCTATGATTTGAAACAGAGTCTGTTCAGGGATTATGTGTCAAAAAATATAGAGAGAGAAATGATTTAGAAAGCAGCGTGGTTGAGAAACAGAAGAGATCCCTTTGGTTGGGGTGGGGAGGACACTGCTATCCCTCAGTGCATCGTTTGGGTCCCCCCAGGGGGGTCATCCCAAGGTCAGGAAGGGGCTCTGGGATGGCCTTGTCTGATGTAGAACTCACAGGGCAGGCATGGCCTGCCGAGGTGTTCTCCTTCCAGGAGTTCTCCACACCTGCTGCTCCAGTTTGAACCCCAGGGGAAGAACAAGGTCACTTTGGGGAGTGTGGGTCATTCATGGCTTGCCCTCCATCCGCCTCAGTCCAGAGGACTTGCTTGTCCTAATGACCACGATTTGGGGATGGAGCCACATTCAGTCATCTTTAGCCTCCACCTTTCCCCACTGAATTTTCTCCATGTCTGAGGATGTCCTGTCCCTGCTTCCTGGGCCCTGACCCCCTTCAGAGTTCAGGTGTGGGGCCTTCTGTGCACTCCTTACCACCTGCCTAAGAAACACAGTGACCACGCCTGGCCCACTCTTGGCACCTCCAGGGACACCCTCTTCTTAGTCTCTCCTGTTGCCAGGTCCTGGCCTATTTCACTTTCTGCCTGTGGATAATCCCGTTTGCGTTCTTTGTGTCACTTTCGGCTGGGGAGAACGTCCTGCCCTCCACCATGCAGCCAGGAGGTGAGACGGGGTTTGCAAGGGGCCAAGGTGGGGGGCTGCCAGCAAGGCCTGAGTTGGCTGGGGCACCAGAGTCCAGCCCTGTGATGGACACACTTGGGCTCCGGGTTGGGAGAGCTGTGTTCACATTCGCACACAAACACTCATACATTCATTTCCCTACCTATGTCTCCACAGATGACGTGGTCTCCAATTATTTCACCAAAGGCAAGCGGGGCAAACGCTTAGGGATCCTGGTTGTCTTCTCCTTCATCAAAGAGGCCATTCTGCCCAGTCGTCAGAAGATATACTGAACCTCTTGGGAGGGAATGTGGGGGCAAGATCAGGAGAGTCAGGCCCCTGGGCCTCAGTGCTAGGTGGGGGCCGGGAGCCTCTAAGGCACCTTCCACCAGCCCTGGCTTTCTTCCCCTTGACTCTGAGGCCTCATCCCCACCCTCCTCAGGGGTCTCAGCTTGGCTCGGATCTGACACTGCTAGAGGCTGTAACCTCAGGGGGCACTCCAGAGGGTGGCAGAGCCTGCTTAGCCAGGAGGTTGAGGTCCCCCAGCCCTTCCCTCTCCCTTCCAAGGTGAGTTGGGAGGTTCTGGCTCAGCTGGAGCAGGTAGGGCAGGGTCTATGATGCTGGAGAGCAGACAGTGATAATTCTCTGGGCAGATGGCCATGGCTTGGCACTTCCAAAAGAAATAGTTTTTGCTGTTGAACTGTGATTTCTGTCCAAGTGCTGATTCCCATTTGAATAAAGATTCTAGGTGGCACTGTTTGCCTTAATACCCTGGAAGTCCATTTTCCTTTCTTCCTGCTAACATTCTGCCCTGGACTGGACTAGCTTTTCTGCTCCAGGAACCCCTTTTCTGGGTTTGGTTCTTGCCCTTCTGAAGGGACTGTTCTTGTAGCCCTTAGTGGGAAGGGAGCACAGATGACCTGAGCCTCGTCATGGAGTGGCAGTGGGGTATGGAGGCAGCCTTTTTTAGTCACCTTCCTTTTCTTCCATCTCTTCTATCCCCAAGGCTCTGTGACTGTCAATTTGGGAATGGGGGAGGGGGCAGTTTAGGACTGGGGTGGATTTTCAGAAGAACATCTATAATATCCTATTTATATAAGTCTTCCTCTGGGGAAAAGGAGTGGTTTCTGGCTCAATCCTATCTCAGACTCAAGGAGAAACAAAATAAAGATTCCAGGTGGCCTGGGCTATAGCCTGTCTTTTAAGAAATGGGGCTGGTAGAAGCTGTTTATCACTTGGAGAGCATACAAACTCTGGCCCTCTCTTCCGTGGGTCTTTGGCTCCTGGGGAGATGATTTCTGCCTTCTAAGAAGGCAGGCCACGTCTCAGGCACAGACCAGATTTGTTGACCTTGCACTCCAACTACAGTGCCTTACAAGTGCTCAACAGTACACATTGGAATGAAGTCCCCATGAGAGCCATTACTGACCATGTCCTATACCTCAAAGTGAGGCTGGCAGGTGCAGAGATGGACTGCACACAACTGGTACCTTTAAGTCATCAGGAAGACCCCTGTGCTTGAAAATCTTTCCTCTACATCATACCTGAAGTCCCATCATAACCCTCCATTTCCTTGGCTTTAGCATTTCCATTCTCCTATAAATACCTTTTCCTGGGAGGAGTAGCACACTAGTTTTCTCTTGATGTGAACGAGATGCCAGGCCCTTTTCTCCTGTGCATGCCAGGATGGACAAAGCAGAGGACACTGGAGGCCAGCATCTTCCTCTCTGATGGGCTCACAGCTGGCCCTACTCTCTCGCTGTCCACTGCTTTGTTCCTTACCTTGCTGATGTGGCTTGACCTCCTCTGTTCGCTCTACTGCCAGTGTTCTCCCAGGGTTGCCAGTGCCCTTCTTGTGCTAAATCTGGCAGGCCCTTTCATATCTCCTCTTCCTGGGTCTCGGCAGCACCTGACAGGGCTGATCACTTCCTGCTTCTTGAGTCACATTTCCCTGGAACTTCTGTGGCTTATTTTCCTATCCTTCTGGCTGCTCCGTTCAATTTCCTATGCAGACCTCTCCACTCACCCACGCACAATGGGGTCTCTCAGGGTTCTGTTGTGGGCTCCATGGGGAAGCCCAACAATGTTGATGGCTTAAAGGACTCTATCGAGGAATCGAGAGTTGACCACCAGCCCCAATGTCCCTCTTGATCTGAACCACAGTTCTGCTGCTTTCTGGGTGCACAGACAACTGAAGTTCATGGCTCAGATGGCACTTGTTGCTGTCCTCTGCAAACCTGACCCTTTTGGGTACCTGCCTTGGCCCCAAGCTCACTCAGGAGCCAAGCAGGAAACCTGCTTTCTATTCCTGCTTTCTCTTTCTGCCCCCAACATCCAGCCTCTAAAAACTGTCAAGTCTATCTTCTTAACAACTCTTGTCTTGAGCCACTCCCACTGGCATCACCTTTCACCAGGATTATTGTGACAGCTTCCTGCTGCTTCTCTATCCCATGGCTGGAGTTGTCTTTCTCAAATGCACAGTTGATCAAGTCACTCCTGGCCTAAAACCTTCCATGGCTCCCCACTGCCCTTAGGGTAAAGTCCATACCCCTTAGCCTGGCTCATGAGACTCGTGGTGTCCTGGTTTCACCTCTCTGACCTCATCACTTGCCTCTTGCACTCTGGGTCCCAGCCTTCTGTTTCCAGAGATGCCATGGCTCTCTCTTGCCACTTTGATTCCTTTTTCTTCTGCTCACCTCAGTACTTTCTCTGTCAAGTCTCCAGCTTAGATTTCACTTCCTCCTGGGAGCTTTGGATGTCCCCTGTCCTCCCACAACTCCACCCCATCACACCACACATTTCACTCTAGTCTTACTCGCCTGCTTTATGGTCTGTTTCCCCATTAGACTGTAAGCTCCTTGAGGGCAAGGACTGTCCTTGAATTTTTGTATCAACAGTGTCTGGCTTGCTGCCTGGCACCTAGAAAGCACTCAATAAATGTTTGTTAAATGAAAGAATTGTAGTGATGTGTTCAAGGGGATGCAGGGGATCCAGGATAGATTCCTGGAGGAAGTACACATGCTTTCATAGTCTCAAATTGAAGCCACAGATTCTCCTGTGCCTCCCTGAACTGCAGAAGCCTCAGTGGCAGCTGAGAGTAAGGGATGGCAGCCCATAGTAGCAGAGAAGCCCATGCCAGGGTGACACATTAGCTGTCCTCTACCCCATTCTGGATCTGTAGATGAAGGGTGAGGCTTAGAGCCTGCAGCAGGAAGGACTTCATCTAAACAAGAGACATAATTTCCCAGTGGTCCCTCCATCCTGAAAGCCTTGTCCCTAGTGGGTTGGGGTGGGAAAATGGTGGGGTTGCCAAAGTGTCACTTTTACAAAGTGTCACTTTTTTCCCCCAGGATAGTGACTGACCCCCATTCTGAACCTTGGGGCTCTGCCCTAATTTGGATTCCCTGGGGCCCAAGAGATTTTGCAGAGAGAAGGGAGGACTGGGGTCTTGGCTTTTGATAGGGGGTGGGATGTGGGAGTGGGAATGGGGGTGGGGGGAGGGCTGGCTCCTATCTTTGAACTTGGGGGTGGGAAACCCATAGGTACTTCTCCCCCTTTCCTCCTCACCCTCAACATTAATCACCACACTTCAGCATTCACTGGGTTGCCTCAGGTAGAGAGGCTACCAAAATAACTTTATGGGGTGGTTTTGGAGGAGGGCAGGGCTGGGAGCCCTTGATGAGCTTGCATTGCTGCCAGGAAGGGTTCGTCAAATGTTTCACGCAGGTTCATGGCCAGGGTGTCGGTCCAGAAGGTGTCATCGCCCAAGTGTCGCTTGTGGGGTCCTTTCCTCATGCTGATGGGGTAAAAGCCCTGGGGCACCTTCATCCTGTATGGCCGTCTCCGTGGGTGCAGCATACGGACCATCACCTCAAAAGGTAGCCGAGGAACGGGCGCCACCCAGTGGCCATCCACTGTGTGCAGCTGTGCACCACCGTGCCCATCGGGCATCACCTTCAGGAACCTGCTGAAGTCATGCTCCCGGCTGGGGTCTGGATGCACGCCCAAGCGGATGCCCTGTGGGTAGTTGATATCAGTGGTGGGGAATGTGGCAGGGTTGTTGCTAAGATTCCACAACATGGGTCTCTTGACCGCGGGCTGACTGTAGTAGGGCTTGAGCGTCACCGCGGGCTGTGGTATGGGCTGCAGTTGCAGCTCCATGGAGGGATGGAAGCTCTTGAAAGGCTTTGACCCCTGGTACTCTGGGGTCTTAGAGACAGCGATGGCTTGGGCTTGCTTGGTACTGGGTGCCAGGGAGTGGCGTTGGTGCAGCAGTTTGCAATGGAGCCACTTCTTGAAATTGGCTTCTCTCAGAATTTTTTGCTTTTTCTGCAACAGAGGGAACAAGACAGTCATGGAGAGCTGCTCCCACTGTGCTGCTGTGGAAGTAGGCCCTGTGTCTGTAGCCTTTGGGAAGCTCAGGTCTGATTGGTGAGATACTGTCCTCACTGCAGGGAAACCCTGAGTCTAATGAGAGAAACACCTGCCTTATGGGAACTTTTGTTCTGGTGGAGGAGACAGCTTTTGTCCTAAGAGAGCCCCTAGGCTGATGACGGAGACAAAGCCTCTCTCATAAGGGAGACCTCCAGCCTGCTGGGGGAGATACAGCCTCTGCCATAGGTGAGCCTTTAACTTGCGAGGGGAGACAGTCCCTGCCCTGAAAAAAAACAAGTCTTATGGGGAGACAAACTTCCTCCCCGCAAAAGGAATCCCTAGTCTGACTGTGGAGACGTTTCCTGCCATAAGGGAGTCTCTGGTTTGACAGGGAGAAAGGCACATGAGAAATGCAAACTGCATCCTGAAAAAGCAGAAAGGTTTGGAAGGCCTGGAATTAGGAAGAGCTAATCTGGACAGGCTTCTTGGAAGGGAGGTGGGCCTTGAGAAGTCACGTAGGGGAGGATACAGCTGGCTGGCTCTCCAGGCTGGGTGGCAACTACTCGGTCCAGCTCTGTCGTTGTCTCCACTGGAGTTGACCCTTCCATCTGTTGCCGAGGAGTCTCCCCCACCCCCGTTGTCTCAGTATCTCACTCCCAGATTGTTGCTAAGCAATTGACCCAGCTTTAGGGGTAGGCTCTGATTAGGCTAAGCCAATCATAATAATTCCATCAGCCTTGTCCCAGACCTAAGTCAATCAGCATATTGCTTTCCTTTAGTTGCAGCCATTGGAACAAGATGGACACATGATCTACTTGAAGCCAATAAGGGATGAGGGGAGATCTGCAAGGGGCTTCTGGGAAAGGTTAGAGCCATAGGAAACAGATGGGCTTTGCCTCCTTTGGACAGGCGTATGACTGTGAGGGTTGATGACAAGGACAACAGAGGAGGCTTGGGCTGAGGAAACTGAAGAGAAATGCAGCTGAAACAGCTGGAGTACTGGATTTGCCAGCCCTGAAGCCCTCCCCACTTCAGGATTCACTTAATATTCCCAGCATCTTCTTTCTGTGTTTTCTATTTTTTGCATCCTATGTAATTATACCTGCTTAAAATCCCCTTTCTTCCTCCGTCAAGGTCTTTCATTGATCTGGGATCCTGCCAAATCTCTAGCGCGTCAATCTCCAACTCATGTCTGATCCCCCAGCTGTCCGGTATTTGCGGTCCTCTGCATACACTCTGTTTTTGCATGTGCCTCTATGCCTTTCCACATGGCTACTCATTCTGCCTGGTCAGCTCTTCCCTGCTTCATATGGCCAACTGCTGCCCATCTTATTTAAACACTCCTCTTGACTATCATCCCTTCTGACACCCTCCTGGACCCCCTCCTCTTCTGTG